TCTCGCTGCGTCGCGGCGTTCCGACCTCGGACTTTCCGTGCGTTCTTTTGACATCCACAATACCTAGAGTTACAGCAGTAAAGTGGAAAAAGTAATAACTTTGAATACCTGTCAATGGTTTTAAGAATGAACTTAAAGCAGTCTCCCAATCTCGAAACATTGTACCAGCAGGATCATTAAAGAATCATACTGCTTTGATCTTACCTGCTTTATCAGTTGTATCAACAAGTTCAGCATACATCTCAGGAGTCCATACCTCATTTCAATTAGCTTTTTGCTTGACAATTCCAAATCCTCTGTATACAATATTTCATGTATGGTTTTTTATTTGAAAGCTAAAGTTAATTTCCTGTATATCCTGTATTGCTATAAACCAAGACAGATACTATAACATTATTTTGTTCTTACTTTAACCTCCACAGTTGTCTGTCCAAAGGTTGATCTTTGGTATAAGTTTAGGAATAGAGGTTAAAAAACAATGCAAAATAGACACAACTTGGTTAGCTTCTTTGCCCTGCAGTATCTTAATAAACATTGTATAATAATGTTGATCACAAGCATTATTGATAATACCGAAAGCATATGACTTGAAGGGTGACTAATAGTACCACTGTGATGGCTGCTGTGGTGGTTTTGGTATTTCGATGGCTTGCTGAGAATCAAAGGAAAACATACTTGTTTCAGATTCAAAGACCTTAGCCTCCTCAATATTAAACTCATATGTAGTACAACATGCTCTGTAATCTAGTTTATGGATTTCTAACTGTATCTGTTTCTCACTTACCCCTGAAATTATAGTTGAAGAACTATTAGTTTGAGATTCATGAGAGACTAATGGTAGTAATTCTTTCTGTCCCTTTGGGAGATTTCGTAAAATTGTGCATTCATCACACATATCTTTAGATGCTTTATGAAATTTTATAAAGCATAAACTTGCATGAGACTTCTATACCTAATAAACTTGGAAAAAGAGAGAGGAGCTTCATTCTCAAAATATCCTCTTCTCTGAAGATATCTTTTACATAAACAGCTATAGGATAAATGAGAAGGAAGATATACAATATCTTCTAACTTGTCACAAATGTGGCTTGGCAAGGAAAAGGTTTTCATGTGACACATGGTTATGAGTCACAAGTATGTTATTGTTTCACACATATGACTCATTCGAGTCATATGATTTGTTATGTGTGGGATTTGTGATGCTTTCGCACATGGCTCAAATATGAGTCATGGGACGTTCACCTGACGAGTATGCCTTGCGAGTGTACTTTGCGGGTATGCCTTGCGCATATGATTTATGTTTCACACATGACCTCATTATGAGGTCATGGGTTTCACGCATATGACTCAGTCGAGTCATATGATTTATTTATTGTGTTGTGATTAGTTTATGAGTTTTTGCACATGATTTCACTATGAGGTCATGGGTTTTGAGCAGGTGACCATCTTAGTCACATGACTAGTTTGTTATGATTTGGTTTTGCACATGTGACCACTTTGGGTTACATGACTACAGGCGGGAAGAACACTATATAAGGAGGCCAATGGGGCCGAGGAGGATAGGTTCTTCACGCTTTGTTCTAAGTACTTTTCCTGCTTCTTACACTCCGTCTTGGGAGTGAGCATAACCAATGCTTTATCTTGTTTGGCTTGCGATGAATACTTCATCTACTGTTACTTGTTTGTGTTTTTTATTTCGAGCGGTCAGTTAGAAGTAGTTGTTCTCACTTAGAAGATACTTTGGTGTGAGATATTAGTTATAACCGGTATGGGTACTCGGTTATTGGTTTTGTTTTATGTTTTGTTTTAAGTATCGCTTTGATACTTGGTTTTGTTTTATGTTTTGTATTAAGTATCGCTTTGATACTTAATTAGTTTCACCAAAGTGTGTAACCGGTATGGGTACTCGGTTATTGGTTTTGTTTTATGTTTTGTTTTAAGTATCGCTTTGATACTTGGTTTGTTTTAAGTATCGTTTGATACTTGGTTTTGTTTTATGTTTTGTTTTAAGTATCGCTTTGATACTTGGTTTGTTTTAAGTATCGTTTGATACTTGGTTTTGTTTTATGTTTTGTTTTAAGTATCGCTTTGATACTTGGTTTGTTTTAAGTATCGTTTGATACTTGGTTTTGTTTTATGTTTTGTTTTAAGTATCGCTTTGATACTTAATTAGTTTCACCAAAGTGTATCGATTGATACCTTTGATTAGTTTCGTTCATGCTAGACATGAACAGATTTGTGTATTTAAAGACCGCCTGTTTCTACGATAGAAAAGGCAGACTTCGACAGACAGTATTTCAATATACTTGGT